ATAAAATGAGATAAGATTTAGTATAAGATAAGACAAAACGAGATACAATAAGATAAGACACAACAAAATAAGCTAAAATATGATAAAATATGATAACATACATTAAACTGAGGAAAGATAGAAGCAAAGATAAGATCCAATAAGCTAAGCTGAGCTAAAACTGTATTAATAATGAAGGAAACTCTTACCGCTTACTGCTGGCCGTTTGTAAAGATAATTTTCTTTCTCTCTTTCTGGGTTGTTGGTTGTTTTACAGACTGCCGATGCTCAGCTGCTGCCAGTTTGGTTGATAGTTCAACAGTGATTTCTATCTGGAGAAACTTTTATTTGTCCCCAGTTTCACTCAGAACGTTCCACGTTCTGTGCCAGGATTGTGACGTCACAAACAGCAGAGTGACAGAATTCTCATGTTTTCACCTGAACCACAAGTGTGCTTTTGTGCACATATTTATTGGCATATGTCAACAACCGTTCATCTAATCTGCTTGAAACGTGGCAGGTGCATCACTGGTGACCTGTGGAAGCAGACTGTCAAGTTTAAAGCACATCGGTTAACCAGAGACCGTTTTAGGGGTCTTTTTGTTGCCTCCAGATACACAGTTGAAACCAGAAGTTTACATGAACTGTATAGAAAGACACATAACCTTTTTTTCTTTCTCTCTCTCTCGCTGTTTGACATTAAATGAAACTAACCTTTTCCTGTTTTAGATCAGTTAGGATTACCAAACTTGTTTATATTTGCTAAATTTCAGAATAATGAGAGAGATTTTTTTCAGAAGTTGACATTCACAAAGACTATCATCCATCCATTATCTACAGTCATGGAAAAAATGATTAGACCACCCTTGTTGTCTTCAATTTCTTGTTCATTTTAATGTCTGGTACAACTAAAGGTACATTTATGTGGACAAATATAAGAAAAAACAACAAAAAAAGCTCAGAAGAGTTTCATTTAAGGGCTGCAAGGTGGTACAGTTGGTTAGCATTGTTGCCTCGCAGCAAGAAGGTTGCCGGTTCGTGTCCCAGTATCTTTCTGCGTGGAGTTTGCATGTTCTCCCCGTGCAGCGTGGGTTCTCTCCGGGTTCTCCGGCTTCCTCCCACACAGTCCAAAAACATGTTGAGGTTAATTGGTGATTCTAAATTGTCTGTAGGTGTGAATGTGAGTGTGCTTGGTTGTCTGTCTCTAAGTGTAGACCTGCGATGGACTGGCGACCTGTCCAGGGTGTCCCCTGGCTTCACCCTAAGTCGGCTGGGATAGGCTCCAGCCCCCCCGCCCTGGTAAGGATTAAGCGGTGTATAGATAATGGATGGATGAAAAACCAGATTTGTGCTGAAAAGGAGTCTGATGAAGAAAAAAAAAATCACATGGTATAATGTTGTAAAAGTGAGTGCGACATCATGTCAGAAACACAGTGGTGATTGAAATGGCAGCATTCTGACATTAAAATTGTTATTCTTGTAAAAATGAACCACTATCATGGCTTCATTCTAATTTATTTTGTAATGGGATATAATTATGTATCAAAATTACTAGGAATCAGTTCTAAACTCTTTTTGTCACTAGTTTGAAAAATGTTAATTTCGTTAGTGTCCCATTTGGCCAATTACATATTGTTACCATGGTTCACTGCTCCCAGTCATTTTAATAGAAAAAAAAAGTTTCAGATCACAAAATAGATGCTGTGTTTAAATAAATCAAGTTTTGAAATTTTCTTTAATATGATTTCTCTTAAATATGGTTTTACATATTTTGGGATTTAACTAAGAATAATGACCTTGAGTTTAACCTTGAAATATCACCCAAGGTCAAATGTTACAAAACCAATTAGAAGCCTATATATGATTTCTGAAACAAACAATGTGTCTATCTTGCACCATTTTCAAGTTACAGTGCAGTCAAAATTAATGACATATCGCCAATGGAAAGCCCTGACATGGTTGCTTATTACACCAAATACCATAAATCTACTTTCCACCATTTTGAAGGTATTCAGCATTTTTGAAAAAAGTGACCTTTGACCTTTAACAGAGCTATTTTTGCACTGATTGACCAAAAAGATCTAATCATTCCAAGGGGAGGCCATTCCTAGCTCACCTGGAAAATATCAACTTGTCAGACCTTAGCACTCGAGCTAGAGACCGTTCACAGATACATAACATGCATATACACAAAGGAGCTGCATATACATGAATGTGATGCATAAACAGAAACGTGCTGCAAAAAGAAAACGCTGCTTATACCGACACGCTGCACTGCACAAATGAAAACAAATGCAAAAAGAAAACCCTGCTGCATCTCCAGTCACACAACACAAGTGCCACAGGCCTCTAGGGTCAATAGTGAGCTTTCCACCTGACAAGCAGACAACTGTGAGCAAGACAAGTAACACTGGTTGATTGAAAAGCTGTATGAAAACGTATGTATTCTCTCGTCTCCATGGATAAACATAAATAACAGAGAGAACACAGGGAGACGGTAGTAAAACACCACTTCAGCACCCATAGAATCACAGTGACTGAAAAGCCAAAGACATACAAACTGCCCCTACAGGCCTGTGGCACTTCCGTTGTGTGACTGGATATGCAGCGTTTTCTTTTTGCAGCACGTTTCTGTTTATGCAACGCGTTCATGTATACGTAGCTTGTTTGTGTATATGCACATCATTTGCCCCCATAGGCCATTTATGCAAGGTATTCATTTATATGCAGCTTATTTGTGTATATGCACATCACTTGCACCATTGGCCATTCATGCAAGGTATTCATGTATATGCAGCTCCTTTGTGTGTATGCGCGTCATGTGCCACCGCCGGCCACCGTACCATTTGCAACAGTAGAATTGATGGCAGAGCTGTCGTATTGGATTGCATGAGATTTGTCAAGTGTGTTTAACCAAGTGTCCAGTGAGTGTGTTTGTGCAGTCGCTTCACAGTTGTTTTCCTCTGGATGGAGGTGAACCTGACGGGCTTTAGGACCTCGCTCTTTGCCTGGCCGCTGTGCACGTGCGGCTCCTCGATGGGGCGCGCACGTCACGACACTCAATCTCAGTGAGATGTAGGTGAGCAGGGCACATCCCGAAACACTAACCACCAGGAGCAGGGTGAGTCAAAATACACATTAAAAATACATGCATTCTCTCATATTTATACCAAGCCACTGCGACAGTTGTCCCCGTAAATTGCAACGCTTTTAAAAATAGTTTTGAGTCGCTTGTACACACTGAGGCTAACGGCTAGCCCGGCCAGGATAGAATGTCAACAAGCCGTCAGACTAGCCGGCTAGCTCGCTAGTTGGCTGACAGGCTTTGCTAACCCGCTACACACCGTAACCGTTTTATTGTCTGCAGCATGAACGCCTCTTGGGGGGCTGTTACCCGTTTTCGATTCCCTTTCTGAAAGCACTTTCGGGACAGTTTTTACAGAGACAGTCGACCAAAGGGTTCAGTCAGAGTTTTGTTTTGTTTTCACAGTTGACAACAAGCTGGTGCATGTTTGTGGGCTTGCGCAAGTGCAGTGGTCGTTTCCAGACTCCGCTAATGATCCATACTCGCTCCTGTTGTTGTGGCGCAGGACTTGTACACATTTATGTGGCATTTAAAGGATTTATTTATTTTTTCATCTTTTAGGGTATTGTTTATGTCCCACACTGTGGTTGGCACCTGTTTACTTCAGCAAGACATTGTACCTATCATTTAGACAATCACGAGGTAGTATTACTGTGCCCATGTTGTAAACAACAAAGCTGTAGTCATTCTGCAGCCTCTTTTTTTTTCTTTTTTTTTTTGAGCCACAGACCTTTGGCAGACATCTGGGTCCTTCACCCCTGCCTGTCTGTCTCTAAAACTAGTCAACCATTACACATCTCTCCTATATGGCTTCCACTCCTCAGAGAGGTGTATTTCAGATTGAATACAGATCTTGCTGCAGTCTTTTCCTCTGAAGTCAAACTCTCAGACTGGTTTGGGTGTTGAATGTGTTCTGTAAAGTCGGTATGTTTCATTTCCTATTACACAATAATGATTTGCATTTGTTCTTAGTTTTTCTAGTAAGTATCCATTTCTTGTGCTTCTTCCTCTTTTTAGGCTAAGTTGACCCTGGTCTGCCACCAGGTGCACAGGCCTGTAACCCTGCGAGGAGGCCTAGCTGGGTGGAAGGAAGCATAATGAGTCAGAAGAACGTGCTGCTGAAAGTGATCTTGCTCGGAGACGGTGGAGTGGGCAAGTCCTCCTTGATGAACCGTTATGTTGCTGACCGTTTTGACTCCCAGTCCTTTCATACCATCGGTGTGGAGTTCCTTAACCGGGTCTTGGAGGTGGACGAGCGCTTGGTCACCCTCCAGATCTGGGACACAGCGGGTCAGGAGCGTTTCAAGTCACTACGCACGCCTTTCTACCGAGGCGCCGACTGCTGCCTGCTCACGTTTGCGGTGAACGACCTGCAGAGCTTCCAGAACCTTGGCTGCTGGAAGAAGGAGTTCATGTACTACTCTGATGTCAAAGACCCTGAGCGGTTCCCTTTTGTGGTACTTGGCAACAAGGTAGACATGGAACAGAGGGAGGTGGGGGAGGAAGAAGCGCGGGCCTGGTGTGAAGAGAACGGCTGCTGTCCTTACTTTGAGACCAGCGCTAAAGATGACACTAATGTCACGGCTGCATTCGAGGCAGCTGTCAGAGAGGTTCTGGCTGCTGAGGACCAGATCGACCATGCGCTGTTGAGTAGTACTATCGATCTCCATGGCAACCGCAAAACCTCTCGTACGTCTTGCTGCTGATTGCGCAGGTGTGATTCCACGTCCTAATCTGTCTGGTTGAAACCTGCCTGTGGTAGTTTTAAGAGCCAGTCAGGTATTGCGTATGGTACGTGTACTATAGGTACAAGGTACTGAGTACAGTATCCCCTAAAGATAATATGGATAAGATACAGCTGCTGTGAGGAGGATGGTTTCAGGGATTCAGCTGGTGTCTAGATTGTTGAATTATTGCTCCCACCAAGGTACAGATATACTCTAACAGGCACACTCATCTATTGTGCTTTATCTGCTTTCAGTGATATTGCACAATGTTTTTACCCAGCCTCAACTTTGTCTTTGCCTATGCAGGAGTTATTCAAAACAGTGCATCCAAAGCATTTAATCAAAAATAAATTATCAGAAATTAAATACAGTAAAACAATAATATACCAGTCCTTTTTTTGAAGAGCACACTCTACACTCTAGAGTTTTAGAAGGACTGACAACAACTTTACATAATTTTTTATTACATATGTCAGCAGTGGTTGGAGAGATAATGTATTTTTCTGACACAGACCCTGCCTGTGAATGGCACCGTTCCCAATCCAGGCAAATATTGAGCTCGTAAATCCCAATATCAGTCAGATAGCATGCTTCAAGGTACGAGGAATTTCAATGATTGCTGCACTCAAATGAAAGACGACCTTGTTTGTCTTTAATGAGAAGGGAATTGTGAGCTTTAATTCTGCAGCTCTGACTGTGAGCTTATGGTACGAGCAATTGTGGCACTCTTATTCATTGAACTATATATTTTTACCACTGCACAACATTGTAGCGGGACATGTCAGGGAAGCAGCCATTATTGTTATTTTTTCTGTAATTTATGTACACGGGACTGTTTACCAGGCAAAGTGAGGTCAGTTTTTTTCCCCTCAAAACTCAGAAGTATTATTGCTTTTGCTACTGTTGATAAAGTTTTTATTTCTCTGTGAAGCACACTTCTGTCCTTAAAAGTGTTCATTTTTACAGATTTCATTACATTTTGTCTAATATTTACATTGGGCTTCAGTGTTTGATCAGGGACAGATTAAAGTCCTTTGTCCTGATGAGCAGAGGAGGTTCTAATTATTAACGGCATCTCTGTAATCCTGTGTCTGCCTTGTTGATTGCATAGTAGGCCTTAACATTCCAGTCTTTTAGCTTTGCCCATTCTGAGGGTGTCCTGTGCTTTACTGATGTATGACATTCGCCTTGTGCTGTCAGTCTAGTCATTATAGGTTTCAACTGAATGTGCAAAAAGCTGGAGCACAGCCATTACTTCTAATGTGTGGAGTGTGCCTCACCTCCCCTAACCATTCATACAGTTTTGAGTGAAACATACAACTGAGTGTTCTGACAACTTAATGTTTACTTACTATTTGTTTTCAGCTGGATGGTACTTTACTATCTATCATACAAACAGGTTTACTTGTACATTTGACTTTTGTTCCTTTGGCTTCACTGCTGTTGGCCAAAGGGCTTTTGTTGTTTATATGGTTTGGAAAAAAAATATGGCTGGTGTTCACTTTTTCAAACTAAGGCCGACATAGTCTGAATTCAATCGTCTTCAATATTTTGATTTCAGAATAGGACTTTACATGGCATATTCTCAAACAAACAATAATGTTGCATGAAGAAGATGTCAAAAATTGGATCATGTTTCATGTGCGTGCAAACTAAAGATAAACATTGTAAGAGCTTCACTGTGAAAGTGAACCAAAATCAATCAGGTACTGTCATATTTACTCATTACATGGTCCTTGTGGTATATAAGCTAACAGTATATGGTGTGTTTGAGTACTGGTCCTCACAACTCACGAGAGAAACTTCAACTGTGAACTGAGAAGGGAATTTTAAGAAAGTCAGGCTGCAAAAATGTTAGCTTATTGTTTGTCAGTGTTAAAGTTTTCTTGATGGAATGAAATGTTTTGCCTCCTTACAATACCGTTTTAGTTTCTATCCTGTTCAGATAATGTAGCCTACCACAGTGTTTACCTGAAATCCAACTTCCCTGGGAATCCGATATTTATGAACTCGTAGCATAACCCTACAGTACGTCGCTTTCATGATGCTGTCTATTATCACTGCAACCCTGTCTAATGTCAGTATTTTTGCTGTAATATTTATGAATGTAAAAACTAATTTCTGTGGGCTGTCCATGTTAATGGCTTATGTAAATTGCAAAGGGCATTCATTTTATAATAATGTACGAAATGACACTGACCGTCTGTTTCACTCAGTGTTCAACCCATGAGCGTGATTAAAGCTGTGTGAAAGTTAGACTGTTCATCTTGATTATGTGTTGATCTAATGGACAACTTCCACTACTCCTCTTTTTGCACTATCGAGGAGACGACTGCGGTGAATACTCTCCAGTGCTTGGCTACAAATAAAACATGCAACATACCAAATGAAGACACTATCTGGTCTGTTGTTTTTTTTTGTTTACCTGTTGACATCCATGAATGTATGCGTCTCTAGAGTTAAATCATGCTATTAACTACCATAGGTCACTAAAATGTCTTGGTATATTTATCTGTAATCACTTCAGCATTAGAAGACAACCCAAATATTTGCAGTAAAAAGCAGCATTATTAAAATGAAGGGTATTTTTCTCAGCAAGATCACGAGTACAACAGAGGTATTATAAGTTTATCCCAAAAGACTCTTTGTTTGAATTTCATCACACAAGACCTTGAGTGTCATTGAATGACCAAGTATGTGTGGGGAAACTGGGAGACGGTGAACACTGCCTGTCTCTATTTAAAAAAGAACTTCAAACATGCACTGCATTTTTATTTTACCTTCATTAAAAACGAAATCAAGCACGCACTGCATACTGAGAAAACAGACCTAGGAAGAAAAAAATTATATTGTTTCAAAGTACATATTCTTAAATCTGTGACTTAAGGGAAAAACATAGTCTAATGAGATTGGCCACATGCAGCACATTATATGGAATTAGCACAAAATATTGAGCTGTTACGCTCAGTTTAGAAAACCAAAAGCTTCCATCTGCATTTGTAATGTTTTGCAACTTAAGATTTAACAGACAATAGCCTGCATTTTAAACAAAAATAATGAAGGGAATCAATTTATCCAACACTGCTAAGTTATGCTACTAAACTGGCACACTTTACAAAATCATTTTGATCATGAACTCAAATGCGACGCTTGTCATATGAAGCTCCTGCAACACAACTGCAATGCTGTCAGGAGATGTCAGACATGTTCGCAGAGTAGGGAGAGCACAGTGTCCCTCCTCTGTCCCTCTGCAGCCTCCTATACAGGTCGTAGCCTCTCCTCTCCTCTTTCGCCTTGTGCCTTAGCATCCTCAGGTACACCTGGTACACAGCCAAGTGAAGGGAACAGTGCACCTGTGGACACAAGAGGAGAGAATACAAAACACCTTACAAAACACCTTGGCCCCTAGTTGTGGCAGGAAGCCAAGGATGGAGCACACACACTGACACTACACCAGACTACAAAAAGATGTTTTCAGAGGCACTCACACAAATACTTCAAAGCATTCTTTTTTTTATTATCAAATATTACCAACACAAATTTTTTTTTAACAACCAGCCTGCTGCGACTTGACAAATCCACACTCAAATGGAATAATCTACTTTTTATGTTGCAAAAGTTTTTGTTAGTAATATCCAAAATTAACATTAGTAAATTCAGCTACAGTAAGTAAAAAAAAAAAAAAAGTGTTATACAATAACTACAACAAAATTCCTAAAGAATTAGAGACAAAACAAATCTGTCCTTTCACTATAAAAGCACCTTAGTTGTGCATTAACAGCAGGGGCTATCACACCGCAAACATGTGTTTTTGGTCTAATATTATAAGGTTACTTTGATAAGTGAGCACGTAGTGCTTTTGCCATCTCAAAGTTATGAGAAACAATTTCAGACCTCACTAGATCTAAACAAAAATGTCCCTTTGTCAGTAAGAAACTATTCAGAAGAATATAAAATTCCTTTAGTCCTTTCACTCTGAATCCATCATTTCCATTATTCGGGGGGGAGGTGGAGGTCATGCAGCAGCGTGTGGATGTGTTGTGTGTGTGGTTGTGGTCCCAGAAGAGCTGCATTGAGGCTTTAGAGAGGTCTGACCCTGTCTTTGTCCAGAGGGCCCTCTCCCTTGACATGTAATATAACCCTTGGCAGAGACTCATAGTGCAGGTGGCCCCCAGAACTGGCTCCTTATTGGCTAGCTTTCCAAACAGGCATGACTCCATTGTTGAGGCTTTTCTCCAGCGCGTGAGAAAAGTCCTGAGGTCAGCGTGAGACTGCAAATGCATGCTTGTCTGCCGCCACAGCAACCAGATGTGTGGGGTGGTCGCCATGGTAACCTCTAATCCCTATTCTCCGCAACAGCTGCATTCTACCTGCACATGTTGCAAATCGGTGCTCTGCTTCTTACATATGTTAATGTATTAGCAGTGTGTTATTTGTGTTGTTAGTGCAGTGGGAGGCAGAAATGAGAATTAGACACTAACCTCAGCAAGCAACAAAAGCAATAACTTAAAAATATTTTGGTGACAGTGAAAATACTGAAATAAGAGTCTAGGACAAAGCATCAATTACACCCATAAAAAAAAACAGAGAGAAAAAAAGGGAAAAACAATAACATCCTTATACCAAGGAAAGTAAAAATATAAACACAAGATTTTTCCAGTCCATGACCACAGGTGGTTTTATGCAGACGACACTGAAGGCGAGAACTGCTGCCATCCCTTTAGATCCCCTTGTTGGTGGTAAAGTAGAGACAGTAGACAGGAAGCTGGGGTGCCTAACACCGTGGACCTATGCCCTTTCTCCCCAGATACCGCAGAACGGCAAAGTTATAGGTGGTTGACACAGTATAGGTCAGCTATGAAAAGACAAGCAGAAACAGGAGGAATCAGAAAAGGAAGCAAAGAGGCAGGACAATCCACAACATCCTACAACTCTACGAGAACAAAACACGATTGTGCTAATGACTTTAATTTGATAGCTGATACCATCCACATAACAGCTTCAGTAATGGAGCATGCCAGTGTAATGGCTGCACCATTTGCCTGCATGGCTGGAACACCACCAGACATTACAGCATTATTATGATGTTTGTGTCAGCTGAGAAAGGGGAACAGAGAGCAATAGTACAAGAGTCATCAGTCATGGAGGCCTGAGATGCCTCGGCGCCTACACTGTGAGCGTCACCCAGTCACATGAGCCGCAGCACTTTTGTTGTACCCCGCTGTAGAGGTGCAGTCGAGTTGGCCTCGGCCGGAGGGTAAATACTCACCAGAGCCAAGAGAGTGATGCCCGCGCCGACGAAGGCAGCAATGTAGAGGTCATAGGTCATTCGGTACTGATGGGAAGAGATTTGCATCGGCGTTATTAATGTCTTCATTTCACGTCAAGCAAATTATAGAACTTGACAGCAGAGCTTGGGTCGTTTCGTGGTTCTTACCTCTCTCGTCTTGCAGACAGTAGACAGGGTCACACCACAAGCTTTCCCTGGTACTGCATTCCATGGCAAGAGCCCTGTGAAAATCAAATTCCTCCTTTTAATTCTAACTTATAGCTACAGAGAAAAAGATGGCATTATTATATTTTCTTTCATTGTCTATAAGTTACATAAAAAGACCAAAACCAACCATGCATTCAGTCATTTTCAGTGCTTTCTTTCTGTCCTGTGTTGTTAATCTCTAAAGCCCACTGCTTCCCATTGAACACATAAATCTTAAAAATGCTCACACAATTATTGTATCATTTTTTAAAACGGCTAAATAATTTCCTACAACAGCTTGGTACTGTAGATTTTAGCAAACTTCGCCAAAAACAGGAATAAATACTGCATGTGTTAGGGACTATTTTCAGCTGCACATTAATACACATTTGATGTGCTAGGGAGTGTTTACACCCTCAAGACAGTGTATGTGGGACTGATTCAAAAAAAAAAAAAAGGAAAATTCAGTGCCCATGCTCATGATAATGAAGGAACAAGTCACCCAGTGCAATAGTGTGGCTCACTATGTGGTACATGTGTTTTTAGCCACACTCTGCAGCTCTGGGGATGGCAGTGTTGGTCTGTGGCTCTGTTGGCACTTTTCACTTTGGACTGATAATCATTTTTCTGTTACATTTTCAACAGATATTCACAGTCCAGAGAGAAAGAATGAAAGTTGTCCATTTTTGGATTTTAGTACAGTGTCTAGACTCTCGGATGAATTGCAATGAAACTTGGTGCTGACACCCATGCTTCCCTTAAAATGAAATCTAGTAATCCTCTGACGTTATCTTCAGTGCCATTATCAGGTCAAAATTGATCTATATTAGGATTTATGACTAACACTAACCGAAGTTTGGGTATAAGCCTGCCAGTGCCTTTTTACTACGTACGCGTTGCCATTTTCAAACATTCACTGGGAGAAACAGTTGAAACAACAACTACCTACCACACTGAAAATTTAAAATGTTGTTGAAGGTTTGGATCTAATGCAGGTCTGATTTTTTTTTTTTTCTTCTGTGAATTTGCCAATTTCATGATAGTTCTCGCCTCCCTGTGTGCAAATGTGCTCCTTAAACAATTCTACCCATCTCTTTTTTGCAGGGACACCATTGCTGCTTCCTGGGCTTAGCATCACCCAAGATGATTGTGATTGACAGCGAGTCCTGTCAGACCATTCTGCATATTGCTGTGTCAGAGAATGGTTTGTGAGCCATGTGAGACCATATCATCAGCCTGAGCTACTTTGTTTAATTGTTGGTAAATGTTGGCATGCTAACACACTAAAGCAACATATGAACATGGTGAACTTGCCGACATCAGCAAGTTACCACCTTCAATGTGAGCGAGTTAGCCTGCTGACTGTAGCAATTAGTCACAGCATGGCTTCACGGAGTTACTGGGATATCGGCAGACAATGGTTTTTGGACAACAGTGGAGTTCTGGCACAGTAGAAAAAGTCGTATTAAGCTTTTAGTAGTCAACAGTGGCGTTGGTCTTTTTATGGGATTTGCTGACATCAAGATAAATATCACCAGATTTATCACACATATGAATACAGTTTATGTAGCAACCTAGTACCACTGGTTGCCATAAATAGAGTTCTCGTTACCGTATTGCCTTGCATCAACGCAGAGCTGGTTGATGCTTGCTGGCGTCTCAGTCAGAACATCAATGGTGTGGCAGGTCGCGTCCATGTTGTAGAAGAAGTAGACGGGCAAGGCCGAGAAGGCAAACACCAGCAGCCACAGTACAGCGAGTGCATATGTCATCACTATAAACTGTACAAGCAGAAAGCAGAATTAACATTATGGTGCATCATCATAATTATACACATAATACAAGAGAGTGTGTTTATTAGCAGTGACTCACTTAGTGACCACATTATCTTACTGTCTTTTTTCCCCTCCTCACCACACACTGTATGCTTATCTTTGCATGTCCCTCTTTTTCTTTTTTTTCTTTTTTTTGATGCCTCAAGATTTTCAGCTCAGCACCCACCAGGGACTGATATGTGTATTAATCCCATCCAATCTTTCCAATCCCCCTCTACTTGTCCCACTCTGGGCCCTCTCACCGAGGAGCTGAGGCAGCGGCCGCACATGGTGCTCCTGAACTCTCCAAAGGTTTGCTTGGCAGCGCTTGTGGTGTAGAAGCCCTCGGCCAACAGCACGATGCAGTAGAGGAAGAAAAAGGAGGCCAAACCATAGATGACATACTGGAAATATTGAATGCTGAGTGAGAGAGAGAAGAAAAAGGAAACCGTCAAAAATGCAGGCTTATGCACAATTTAAACCTTGAAAATAGACACTGCACTCTGAGAAATCCCATATTGAGGGTAAAAAGGTGCCGCTGTGAAGATGAAAATGTAGAATTTGATGACTTACATGTAGGCGAGGGTGATGTAGTCCTGAAGGTTACGGGCAAAGTAAGTCTCGATGAGTCTCTCCGTCTCTGTGAGCGCCTGGTGCCCACAACCGCAGAATAGGGCAATGCCAGAGAAGCACAGCAGTGTGGCGACCAGGGAGCAGTATGGCACCCCTCCCAAACAGCGCATACAGCAGTCATAGCAACCTGTTATTCAAGATGCAGCACCATGAAAGTCAGGGCACATTATTAAATGATTCACTGCACAGCACAAAGAAGTAGTCCGGTTTTAAAATGTACAAATTATACACAGCAGAATGTGTTGCAGGTAGTTTCATAAAAGGAATTTCATTTTATACTATCTACCAATATGGACTTGGGCCATAAATCATGCAAATGCTGATTTATAATTTCGGTTTTTGCCTTTACCCCAGTACAAAGTAAATAAAAATCACTAGCACTGCTCAAAACTAAGGCTGCACCTAAAGAATCACTTCATTATTGATTGTTCTTATAATTTAGATATGTCCAAACAAAAGTGACCAAACATTAACCACATTACAATACTGCTCAATATACGCAACAGCAACTTCTCTTTCCAGAAACTATTTTAATATTATGCTGAATAATTCACAGACTATAATGTCAGCGATTTCTTTGGCAGAAAGCAGTTCCTAGGATACAATGAGGTTAGTGGTTTATCCTGAGTAACAGGAAATCCTTTTATTTCGCAAGAGCAAAATTCTGCTGAATTAGGTTCGAGGCAGACATCTAACATCGTCATCTCAAACCCGGGCACGTAGACCTGAAACTATCCACACAGCCAGATAACACTAAAGGTAAGTAAGAGTGAAAAAAAAAAAGACGTCCAACTGAGCCGAGCTTTTACGGAAAATTTGCTGATGTTACTGTCACTGTGGGCCGAGCTGCAGCTGTGAACACTTAAAGTTCACTTGGTAAAGCTGTGCATTCTCCCTATAGTCATGTGCTGATTGAATGGATGCCAAGGGCCACAGGCATGGGGATGTGTCTGCACTGACCCCATCTCACACCCTGACTCCATTCACCGCCCAGCATGGAGAGTGTGAGAAAAGAGGGAGGACGAAGAGGAGAGACAAAGTGCAGCAGAGAGAGAGGCTGCTTTTGTGGCTGGAGAGACAACAGTCTTTGTCCCACAGCATCATGGGGGTACAAGGGCCACCAATGTCAAGCAAACAAAGGCCAGAGGCACCTCGATGCCTCGCACACACATGCACACGCTCATAGACTTCCTTCTGAGGAGACACAGGCGCAAGAAAGTAATGGTTGGTGCGCGTCTGTTGGGATGCTGCCAGAGTGCTGGAAGAGGATGGAAAAGCACATCTAAACAAACAATGCAACTGTGTGCATGTGTGCCACTACCCGGCTTGCATGCATGCATCTACACAGACACGCACAATGGAAGCAGACAGACTGTGGTTGGTACCATTACAGTAAACACAGATGGCAGGAGGGGCAAATGGCTCTTTAATTGAACACATCTACATGGCTTTGTTGCCTGTCTGGGTGAGACAGGGGAGACATGCAAACTGCGATCGCTGTCATTCAGATAGACAACTTTCCCAGAGGGAGTTTTAAGAGATAAATAGCGAGAAAACTAGCAAATGACAGAGTATATTCTGTATAGCTACAGTCATAAGTAGAAACACAGATCAATTACTCATACATCAATGATTTCTGATCCCTATAAGCAGCCTAAGAATAGGAACAACCGCATCCAAAACACCACATTCTAAGTATAACTGAGCCACATGCCTTCAGATACACCTTGTGCCAATTAACTAATTAAGACATCAGCAGCCTGCAGCAGTGTGAACCGCTGGGGCCCTGCTCTCTTGATTGTGCCCCAAATAAAAACACAAACCAGGTAGAAATCGTCTGTGTTAGAAAATGCAAAGCTGAGGCCAAGTGTGCTTCTCTTAAAAAAAAAAAAAAAATTGAGAAAGATTACGACCCAAAGCAAAGGCGACAAGGCTCCTCTGAAAGTAGCCCTGCCATCTCAAGCATGAAATAAATCTCATAATATCAGCGGAGCGTCAGCCGGTGAGTAGCCGACTTCTAAAGTGACAAAAAAAAAAAAGAAGAAGAAGAAGCGTAACTTCTGATGCCCTTCTCCCACTTAAATCAGCGTGCAATCACATGCAATAAAATGACGATTTGATAATAAGGATATGCGTAAAAAAAAAAGAAAAGAAGTTAGATTGAGGAGTTTCTTACCCATGTCTAGGAAGGATGCGTTCAGGACTCGTTAGCTTCTGCCGCCTTCACTGCAGCTGCTCCACTGATGATATGCGCAACTTGTCTGCGGCCCCCGTATATCAATCTCAACTCGCGTTCTGTTTCCCCAACAATGGACAGACCCGCTGATGACTGCAAGTGCAATCTTAAAGAAACAATGTCGCTTTTCAATGAACTTCAAGGCGGGGAATAATGAGGAGGTCAGGGTTCTTACACTTGCAGACATTTACTTAAAGTTCATTGTTGCGTGGAGAGAGCCAACACACAACTTCTTATGCAAGTTTTTTTTTCTTCCAGTGAAAAAGCATCACTTTTCTTCTTCTTCTTCTGTGTTGTCCATTCAGAACTTACTGCTTATCATCAGTGGTTTTTGCCAAAGCTTCTTCTGTTTTATTTTCATCCTAATCATGCAGCCCTGTGAGGCGTTTGCATGTCTGTGTGCTGTGATTGTCTGAGTTTACAACTTTCAGCCTGTGGACAGTCAGGTGATGCTGTGAAGACCGTTAAGAAAAAGCACTGAACATGAAAGATCTGACATCCCAGCTGGCAAAACTGATGTGCTTTATCGTTTCTCTCCTAAATGACTCTATTTAGTCTCGGAACGTCCCATTAAAAGCACTTAAAGTGGCATTCACAGACCATGAACACAGGCTGTAAGTCGACTTGTGATAGAGTCAGATAGTGCCATGTAGGCGGGATAGTTGAGGGGCAATGAGGGGTATTTCTCAGCAACTCTGCTTTGATAAGAGTAACATGAGTGGTATTTTAATTACACTCCATTGTTATGTGCAGTGTGATCATAAAAGCCCTGATGTGTATCTCACAAATAATTCACTGGGTATTTGGGACGATGCCAGCTTTTTTTTCTTTGTCCATGCAACCTCTTAACCCACTATCAAATGTTCAGCTTGAGAAGAAAAATGAATTTGATTCAAATGAAATGTGCTGTGAGTGGAGCAGAGCAGCATGCAGCAGGGAAACATCACTGATCTCAAGCGACCTGACTGTGGCAGAGTGAGAGACTGTCCTCTGATTCATCTCCACCCTCTGGCCAAATACCAGAAACAAAGAGAAAGATTTGGCTTCATCTCTGCCCAGTAGATGGCAGGCTTTCTCCTGCCATTGCACTTGGTTTTTTTTTTGCAGCACCCCCACAACACAATTCTTTTTTTATTTTTTTTGAGAAAAGACAGCTCTGTCAAGAAGCATCTATTACCAGGATGCTGTGAAAACCCACTTTGTAAACATATTTGTAATTTGTCATGCAGGTCAAAAATGTCTGTTTTGAAAGAATCCAATTGGCCTGCTTTAATATGAGTTTGTACCTGTTTTCATTCAATGGGATTTGTAATTCCTTACTTAAAGATGCTGCTTTAATTTGTAATTTTGTTATGGAGCTCTTCATTTCTTCTCAGTTAATGTAGTTAGTCTCACAGTACAAGCCTATTAGATTATTTATTTTTGAGCTGCCAGCTCAGAAATCCTCAGAGAGACAGCACTCATGTTATACAAGCCTTCTCCACTAACCAGATTGTTGTACATTGTGTTTTACAGGCTCCGACTCTTGGCTTTCCTTTTCCCCCCTACCACACGTGTATCTTGAAAGGATTGCTTAATAGTTTATGATACAGTAAAGATTAAAAAAAAAGAAAAAAAAAGTTCTCCTTTGTGAAAGCAAAAGGAACTACCTTGCCCTCTTTGTGCAATTGTGTGTTCACAGATTTGTAAACACAATTTCCCTGACTCATTCATATGTTATGCATCACGCAACTTGGTTTGATGTCTCAATTGTTCCTCGGCATACAAATGTATCAGGAAAACACGGGAGCCTGCTGCCTTTTTATGAAGATTTCTTTGAAAACAGTGTGATTTTACTCCAAGCATCTGTTAACAAAACAACAAGCCTGTTGGGTCACTGGGTGCAGTACAGTAGGATTTTTTTTCCTGGCTTTTTGAGTGCAATCCAGCGCTGTGGGTGAGAAGCACCGCTATCAAATAACAGGTGCAAGGCGGTGACTTGAGAAGTTGGTGTGCCTTCCCTCTGCCGCCTCTCACCTGTCCACAGCCGCCCTCTGCCTCCTGAGCTCATCTCAGAGTTACTTCTTTAGAGACTTTCATCACTTCCCCACCGGAGGAACATTAAACCCTTTTGTGTGTCTAAATGCTTTAGATTCCCCATCACTCAGAGTCAGAAATCTGAGAAAGCCCAATCAACTTAGCAGACCATTACTTCAATCTTCCTATCGGCAGGGGTCATGGATGATAATCCTTAAAGATAATGGCTGTAATACTGGCATCTTACCCGTGGTTTGCTCTGATATGCTCTATCTTTGGGTGGCAATACTGCACACAATACCTGTGTCAAGTTCTGCATCTGTAGTGTTTTATTTTTCTTAAGGATGCACAGGAAAGACTCTTCCACTAACCAGAAACCCTTCACTTATCAGATCGTCTTTTTTTATGCTTTCCTGATAGGTCATAGGGGCATTTAAAAAAAATAGATCAACTTTATTTCCACCGAATTTTTCACTTTTTCTGTTGACAAATGTTTGAATGCACTGTGACTGAGTCTATTTCAATTACTTATTAAAATGCAAGCAGCCTTTGACAAATATTCACAATATATTTAATTCACTGGCGCTTTCCATCCTTGAAACTGAGTGAGATTACACATTGCTTGCTTAATTCTGTTATTCATCAGAGTAGTATTTGTCTTTGAGCCTGAGTGGAATCTCATTCTCCTCAGTGTACCCCCTCTTGTGCTGTTGTGGACTTCTTCTCCTCTGTTTCAGGTAAAAAACAGCTGTCACCACAAGCAAACATATGGATGCCAGCATCATACCCAGGCCTATTAACAGTGTCACTTGTGCAGATTTGTTAGTTTCCACCTCACAGATGGGGGCCTTTGAAGGGGTTTGAACCAAGTCAGGTGTCCCTGTCCAGGTGGGCGCTCTGTCCAAGTGGCAGGGCTCCATGCTGTCATTGACTAACAGATTAACCCACACAGTGGTGTAAAGGGGAGCTGGTTTCCCCCCATCTCTGACTACAATGAACAGGTGATGCATTCCTAGGTCTTTATGTAGAAGCTGATGACTTAAAGTGATGTTCCCTGACCTTGAATCAACCAGGAAGGGACTGCTGTTTTGCACAGACTCCGGCGCCACAACAGAGTATGTAATCTCCGAATTCAGCCCTGAGTCCTCGTCGATGGCATAGATCTTTGTTACCATAGTACCTGCCATGGTACCCGGAGAGACAGTCAGGCATGAGGAGTTGCTGCTGGGTAGGATCACTTTTGGCTGGTTGTCATTGATGTCCTCCACAAAGATGGTAACTCTGGCAGTGGAAGTCAAAGTGACCAGGTGTCCATGATCGCTGGCCAACAGGTACAGTTCATAGCAATCCTTTGTCTCGCGGTCCAAGTTAGTGGTGGTGCGTAGTGTCCCCTGGGTGTTGTCCACAAAAAAAGGTCCACTGCTGTTTACAACATGCAACTCTGTGTTCCCATTCTCACCTTCGTCGGGGTCTTTCACCTCCATCCTCCCCACCTGGGCAAATGGCGGCACGTTTTCAGGGATAAAAAAGATGAAGTGAGGAGTTAGAAAAACAGGTGCATTGTCATTCTGGTCCAGAACACGAATGAATACTGTGGCCATGGACTCCAAGGGAGGAGAACCACTGTCTCGTGCAAACACAGTGAGTTTGTGCACACCCTGCTGTTCCCTATCCAGTGGAGCTGACACAGACAGTTGACCTGTCACAGAGTCGATGTTAAAGATCGTCGATGTGTATTTGTCCAGCCTGTAAGTCACTCTGCCGTTGAATCCGCTGTCTGCGTCTGAAGCCGAGACCTGCAGCAATGACATTCCTGGCTGGTTGTTTTCCTCCACTTCTAGCTGATAGTGAGACTGGAGGAAATGTGGTGCATTATCATTGACATCTGACACCAACACCCTGATCACATGCCTCGAAGGAGCGATCGCAGCTCCTTCAGCTGATCTCCCATGCACTACCACAGAGATATGATGTTCACTTTTCATCTCATAGTCTAAGGGCTTTGATGTGGAAAGCAGATATTTGCCATTCTGTGGGCTCAAAGTGAAAGGCACTTCACCCTCAATGGCAAGAGACGAGCCTTTAAAGCTGCTGTCACCCTCAAGCTCTAAAACAGCTAAGACGGCAGGGGGCTGGTTCTCTGGTAACACCATAGTCTGGTTTTGATGCTCCGCTATGAACCCGATCTTGATCGTCAGCTCCTGCTTCGCCTTGGGGAGCACAGATACAGTTACCTGAGTGTCTGCTGGGGGGCAGTGATGGCCGCTAGCAAACACTTTCAACACCAGCTCCTCGGAGTTGTCACTCTGGAGGTCTTGTGTTAGTCTGATGTACCCAGCGAGGCTGTCGACACTAAAGAGCTTCTTGGCCCGCTCAGAGACTTTGGGACTGAGGGAGTAAATGATGGCAGCGTTCGGGCCTGTATCTGGGTCTATGGCTTTGACCTGAGCGACCATCATGTTCTTCGGGGAGTCTCCCGGGATGGTGACATTGCGGGGGCTGTCAGAACTAAAGCTCGGACAGTTGTCATTAACATCTGTCACTCTGACCATTAAAGTCGCCGTTGCACTTAAAGGTTCTGCGCCACGATCAGCGGCCACCAGCTGCATCTGATACAGCTCCCGTGTCTCCCTGTCCAGAGCTGTTTGTACAATCAGCATGATCAAAGGCCTGTCTTCTCCGACTTTTAAACCGAAAACCCCATCGGAGTCTTTTAGGTGGTACTGCAGCTCTCCGTTATGACCAATATCCCTGTCCTGAGCCTGGTCATCCAGTAAAAAGCTGGTCCCCACAGTCACATCCTCAGACACCCTCAGGTGGATTTCACTATTTTCAAAATGCGGTGCATTGTCATTGATGTCCTCTATGATCACAGGAAACTGTATAAGGTCTCCTGAGGCCCCCACGACAGCATTGTGCAGAATAATGCATTCCTCTGCTTTTGTCTCCTCGGGGCAGAGGACCTCGCGATCCATCTTTTGCTCACTGGTGTACAAATTCCCAGTGTTTTTGTCCATCCACAGATACTCTTGGGTCAGGAGCTGGTATGGAGGTGGAAAGTGTTTACTAAGTGATCCGATCAGAGTACCAGGCTCCAATTCTTCTGGAACAGAAAACTGGACAGAGCCACATATGATCTGCTTGATGTGAACCACAAAGAGCAGATTCTGATGGAGACAGAAAGAAAAAAAAAAATAAGCTGTGAGCAGTATTTCTTTAAAACACATTGTTATTTATGATCTTGTTTATTGTTGCAGATGAACCTGATAGGGGTTCCAGAGGAGGAGTTTTCCCAGGTGGCGATAAAGTTTAAACTTCATGCCTCAGTGAGCTCTTTTAAAAGCAGGCAACTGTACAATGAACGTAATGTGATGCCCCTCATTTATCTCCAACCAATTACTCCCTTACACAAAGATCACATACAAAAAACAAAAAGCAAATGGCATAGAATGTATTTGATCAGAAAAAAATCCATATATTAGGCCTAATTTTTGCAAAAAATTTATTTAACTCAGTTTTCTTGAAGAGGTTCTGATTGGACATGAATTTTAATAAAACCCAGCAGTACCTGTGGGATTCTCCAGGTGCTCTGGAGTGCATTTAACACCTTTCGTACTTTTTGAAGTAAAGAAAAACATTGCAGTTGCACAAACACTAAGACAGTAAGTCGACACCATCAGAACAGATCATCTCATTTGACTCACTCACCTGCAGGAGTCCAGCCCAGTTCATATTATCAGGAGTCCCATGGCCCATCGCCTTCACACATGTTACCCAAGTTTCCCCGACAGAAAGTGAATGCTGAGGACAGAGACGGCAATCTAAACCTGCACAGCTGAACACATAATTCATTACATGCCCCTCCTACAACACTTACCTTGCATGTCAGCCTGACATATGAGAAGTCAGAAGTACAACAGGTTTACCTGCATGAGTTGAGTTCAGGTTTTCTTTCGTAGGACTCGTGTTGCAAAAGCACAAAACAACTTGAGCATGACGCTTGTGTAAATATATTTGCTTCGAAGCTGCACTGGACCGGATTAATGTGCCACTCAAATGTGCTAACACACCTTTTTTTTTTTTAAAGCACACCTGCCATCTGTTGTCTTTTTTAACTTCTTCATAATGCTTGATCAGTGTCTCAATCCTTTTCTCTCAGGTTTGTCCTTTTGTAGGCTTCTCTTCTGTTCAAATTTTCAGAAATCTTTATAATCTAAATATCCAAGCCTTTATAAATAACTCGATGAGCTCGATGTTCCTCGTATTCACACAGAAACTTGCATAGATATAAACTGGTAGTTTATCAGGGGCAATAATGTAGCTGTTGAAGAGAAATAACATTATATATGGCAATATGACATTTTTATTTTTATTTTTTATTTATCTGACAACTTTAATTGTTTTTCTTTTTTTTTCAGTTAATGTTTCTATCATGTACAATCGGTGGGTTTACTTTAATTTAAATGATGGATTTGAACTTTTGTGTCACTTGTCATGACATAATACACCCTTTGGACTTGCACATCTGCTCTGTGGGGGTTGGGGGGCCTCTGTAGACAGAGCAGAGTACTGCACCCCTGAAAACACCAGGAAACAGCTGAAAAGTTCTGACAGAAAGCAGCACCTTTACTTTCTTTCTTAAAGTGCCATTTCATAAAGTAAATCCACCTCCACCACAGTTAGGAGCGCAGGGATAGCTTTAGCCAATCAGGAACTGGTAGCCACGTGTAGAGATGTTTTTATATTCTGACTGTACAGTGTGAAAGCAGGGAAATTCAATCTAATTAAAGTTTCGCCTTCATTTGGAAGCAATACGGGGGATTTTTCCCCCCTGACTTCAGTTGCGTAATGGCATATTTCTGTCTGTCATTTGCGTAAATATTTCCTTTTTTTTTTTTTTTTCAACTTTTCCGCCCTCTTTTTTCCATTTACAGTAGACTTGAGGTTTTCCTGCGACGTGATTGGCTGCATCTGAGCGGACGAACGCGGACGGTTTTAGAATAAAACTAAAGCGCTGCCTGTCAGCTTTAAAGCGTTTTGAACCCAGACACAGACAACAGCAGCAGCAGCAGCAGCAGCAGCCTGGTGGTGTTTCATTTCAGCGTTCCAGCATGTCCTCAGACATTAACACCGGTGAGTCCAACGACTACTTGAGCTATTAATTTTAGATGATTACAGTGATGGTGATCATAGGCAACAGCTAACACAAGTGTGACTCCTTCAGTGAGGCTGCATTTCTGCTCTCCTCTGACTCAAGTCTTGTTAAATCATCACATCACAATGATATCAGTTACAGCCTGCTTTAGTTTTTACACACTCCTCTGTTATCTTCTGTTCTACATGTATGTATTTGTACACATTTTATACATGTGCTCACAAGTTTATCATCAGTTCCTACATCCAGTTGGCCATATTTTTGTACAAAACTTTTCAAATACTCAAGATTTTCAACATTTATGCCCCTGTTTTTTTCTTGCTGCTTCCCTTAAACTTTGTTCTATTCGTGTAAGCCCGATAAAATTGAGGATAAACTGAGCTGTGTTGATCCCATACTACATCCATTATTTTATAAAGCTGCATTTATTCAGGAAATGGCCGAAAAATGTTGTTTCACAGCAGTGCACAGCATAGAATTTAGATTTATTACCTAATATTTTTTTCTACTACACTTTGCAGACCAGGTGTTTTACTGACTCCGATGTTTTATATGCCATATGGGCTGTTGGGTTTGTTTTTTACACACCCGGTTATCTGAGGCAGCCTACAGATATAAACCTTAGCTGCAAGTTTGGGCTTTTAATTTCTTTTTTTTTTCACCTAAAGTGATTTGTGTTATTAGAAATAACTTTGACATGAAGTTTTCTAATTTAGTTGTATTTTAAAAAATGTTTGTAATGCCAAGAATGTATTCTGGGTTTCAAAATAGTTTATATTTTTAGAGTTATTTTGCTTCCCTGCTGAACTAAGCTGAGACAATCTTTAAGTTTTCTTTTCAGTGCAGTAAGCGTTTTTTTTTTTTCCCTCCTCAACCTCTGTCACATTTTCCACAGACTTGGACTTGGAGCTGGGTGAGTTGCTGCAGGAGTTCCAGGATGTGGTGGAGGAGCTGAAGGCCCCTTCTCAGAACAAACCTCATGCGTACCAGCACGTCCTGCACGTGGCTAAAAGTCGAGCGGGGCTGGGAGACGACAGCGGGGTCGAAGACTCGGATTACAGTAAGTAAAAACAAATCATCACTTTGGAACAATGCCGCCGTGATTAAGATAACGTTTGCTTAATGTACAAAGTAGCGGGGACGGAAAGGAAATTATTTAGTGCATCATTTGCTGGTGACTGACACTGTGTGGAGTCCCTGTGGATGCCAGTTGAGCCCCTTTATCAGCCCAAACAACTGCAGCTTGACACTTTTAATTTGCATGAAATTAGTGGGACAAGAGGACACATCCCTGCACACTTCTATTAAAGTGGCTGTTTTGCTCAAGACAATAGCTGTGTACCGGAATGAACTGCAATTATGGATAACCCATTTGTCGACGGTTATGAGATAAAAGAAGAAAAGTGTGTTTTTCTGCTCCCACGTGTCGTCATTATTGAAAGTATTTTGGCTCCCTAATGTTTCAACAGGCGAGCTGCTTTCAAAAGTTGACACACGGGAGTCACTAGCAGTGAGAAGGCATTTACCTTTGTTTCATTGCACGTTGTTGTCACTTTGTGCAACTCCTGCATTGTGTTAAAATTGTTGTCGTTGTCGCTGATCATTTGCATGGACTGCCCTCAGTGCTTATTATCTCCTTTTCTCTCCCTCCTCGCCTCCCTCATCCCTCAGGCAGCGAAGCCTCTATGGGAAACAGTCTGAATACCAGCGAGGAGGAGCTTCACACAGCAGGCATAATGCTGGCACCGAAAGGTACTGGAGCCTTCTATCAGCATATCTCCATCCTGATAGCCCTCCTTCTTACAGCGATCTCTATCACTTTTACTGTGATCACTATCACAGCCACACACAAACCCTCTACATTAGGCCGGGAGCTCCTTTTGTTTTTACACAACAAAGCTCCTGCCGCTGTGACTGTGACGTCTCAACGCCCCTCTTTCAACGTGTCCTGCAGGGGTTTGTGTGTGTCTGTTATGTAGTGGTGAGACTGGCTCAAGCGTGCGTGCACATGAATGAGTGCCGTTGTGTTGTGTTGCATTCAGATGCACAGACTTCCTGTCTTCATCCATTGATGAAGACAGGAAGGTAACCAGAAGGTGTCTTTCAATCTTTACACAGCATAACTGAAGATATTTGCAACAGAGATCCTGGTCGGATCCAGCAAGCTGTCAACAGCTTTAAGATCAGCTTTATATCAGTTTGTAGAAAAGAAGCCGAAAATGTTTTTGCCGGTGCAAATGCAGTTTAGTTCATACGTAATTCTGGGACTTAGATTAGTTTTTCAGCCTTTGGTTTAAAGGAAATGCCACTGAACTGAGCTGCATTTCTCTACAAAAATGTTCCATTGCTGTTTTTTTTCTAGAGTTTCTCAAATTCCTTTTTTCTTTCTGTCCTCCTTCTGCAGCCAAGCTGGGAGACACAAGGGAACTTGAGAGTTTTATCGACATGTTGGACCGGGAACTTGCTGGTGTGTATTTAGGAGAATTACATCCCCTATCACTAAATCTGTTCTTTTATTCCTTTTGCACTTAAGCTGACAAGCCAGCAGGCTACAGTGTGTTATGGTGGCACAGACGCTGACAGAGTGCATGTGCTGTTACACATTGAAAAACAGAGTGCGTACTAGTAGCCCCCTTGTTTCTACCCTGAGCTACCCCCCTCCTGTTTATCTCTGAGCACCTTTTATGTGTAAATGCCACGTCTGGGGACTCAGGTGGACTCTATCTCCACGCCCTTTAGTGATAATAGCATACTTGACTACAGGAGCATCATGATCCTGCTATCAGCACTAAAGCAGTGGGGTTTCAGAGGCCTGTGAACACAGGCATCGCCCTGTGCATTGACACGAGCCGCAAGGAACAACACCTATATCCGCTGCTATCAGTTGTCTTGACACAGGAAAAATTAATGTTACAAATTAAATACAACTCCCCACGTATCGTGACATGGCTCACTTACTAGTCAGTGCATGTTTGCGTGTATGTTTCTATTCCTTTTTTGAAATTCCAGCTCCTGAGCTTTTGTATTTTTTCTCTTCCTCTTTCTTTTGCAGAAATGTGAACAGAGAGAGAAACTGAGCCACGTAACGGGGGGAGAAACAGGCCGGGGGCGACATAGTTGGCTACTGCCAAGCAGAAAAGCAGATCTACACCAGAGCAGATCTGATGGAGCAAATGCTCCCTTTGCCGCTCCAGGGGAAAAGGTTAACATCAGAAATTAAAAGGGCAGTCCATTCTGAAATGCAAGAACACCCTCAGACCCCTGGCAATGCTGTGTCCAGCCGGCGAGACGACGCCCCTGCAGCATCAGATCCAAGATGTGTGACATATTCCCGAAACTAGACAAAGCTTCCATCTGTCCAGGCATATGAGAAAACACTGCCTAGAGTATAGAAAGCATGTTTATGCCACACTTAAAATTCCCATAAGGGCTATGCCGGTAAAGGGTCCTAAATCTTTATTGCCATGTATTTTTTTTTTTTAAGCAGCCTGAGCTTTGTGTAGCTCAAAATTACAAAAGGCACTTTAGTTTTAAAACAATTTCAAGGTCAAAGGGTTCAGATCTGCTGTTTAATATCAAGTGCCATTTAAATGCTCACATT